GCAATTAGCCAAAAGCCTGTTGTCTCCTTCACTGACTGACTCAATTACAGTTTCATAGACGTTTAGTAACCCAAGTCACAGGTGCTACAGGGCATGCTATTTTAAATTAGCAGAGGTTCACTGCAAAAATTATTCAAGTTCACACAATTTATATCTATAGTAACTTTTAAAGTTTAAGCTTTAAGTATGTATCAGGCAAATTGAGTTTTGCCTGCAAATTTTTTTTTTTGGAATGTGGCCAAATTAATGAGTCAAAGGATAGGTAAAGGGAAAAAAAAAAAAAGATCTTGCAAATGATCTTTTAAAAGAACCTTTCCTAATCAGGAAAAGTAATAATCAGCGTTGTCTACTAGCTGAATGTGATTGAATCTGTCAAAAAAAATTTAATATATGGAATACCTATAACCAACTGCTTAATGTAAATAAAGTCATGCATTTGTCAAAACAGTTAACAGAAAACTGTTTTTTCATCAGACATAGTGACTGTTTTTTCATCAGACATAATGAGAAAGAATAAACTAAGTGGGCATAGTGGAAACAAAGAGAACCAACTACTGTCCTGAACAATCAGTGTATGTAGTAACCATATTTCCTCTTCGTTGAGTGACAGTCCTGCAGTGCTTACTAGATCCATGAAATCTATTTTCAGTCTGTACTGTGTGTCGATTGGTGGTATCAAAGCCACTAAAAGAAAACATTTTCTCCATATCTTCAAACATGTCATCAAACAATCCACCTCCAAAAGAAAACTCTTGGAAATGATGCCTTTGTCTATTGGAACCATCCTGGCGTGTCTGGAAGTGATTTTCAAAATGCTTCTTAGACCGAGTGTTTTGGTTCTGGCCAAAAAGATTAAAGTCTTTAAATAAGTCATCAAAATTGAAGTTAAAAGATTGCTCAAAAGGACTTCCACTTCCTTGTTGTCCTTTGCCATTAGTAAAAGCACTGTGTCCAACTGTATCATACTCTTTCCGCCTATGAGCATCTGAGAGTGTTTCATATGCTGAAAAAGACATAAAAACCATTTAGCAACTGAAGAGAAAATATTCAAAATTATATATATGTAAACTTCAAATACATGATTTCAACCTATGTATTTCAGGGAAGAATTTCACATCACAAACAAAATATTACAAGTAACAATAATGTAAAATATAAATTGTAAAACAAGGCAGGGACTTGTTTTATCAACTCATATCAGTAGTTAGAACAATCTTTCAATTATTTCTTCAATTAATATGCTATATTCGTTAAATAAAAGCTATTATCACAGATAAACATGCTGGCAAAATTAATCTGTTCATCTTCATAATTTTTGTGCAAAACTGTGATTTGTATTATTGAAGAATTATTATCATATGTACCCAACTAATAGAAAATCAGGTTTTTCACGTTCTTAGTTGAAGTAAATGTTTAATTCCAACTCCTAGTTAGGCCTATTAACTACTTAAGTAATGTACAAGATACAGTTTGTTTTGGAACTAGTGTTAAGACAAAACATGCTTCAGTTTTTTAAAGACACATTGGTTTGAAATAATAGATGAAGTAAAGAAGACACCTTTAAACTATTGTGTTTATATTAAGTCAATACTTAGTAAAATAAGTTTCTTAAGTTACTTAATAAAAATTTTTGCTTCCCAAGACAGTTGTGTAGCTTAGTCTGTTTAAGGGGTCCCTGGCAGTAAAATCAGGACCTATCCCTGGTGCATAAACTAGCTTTTTGGAGTCCATTACCTATGGTGGGATACCTTGCACAGCCTTGATGCAGGGGGAGGGGCTTGGACTTGCCTCTACTGAATGTACCAGGTTTTACTGACTCCCCATGGGAGGCCTTACCTTTGTGGAGGAGGAGGTTGGGGGAGGGGTTGGAGAGGAGTGGGAGGAGAAATGGGAGGGGGAATCTGTGGTTATGTAAAATGAACAATTTAATAAAGAAAAATGCTGAAAAATTGGCTTACTAACATCCATTTTTATATATAAATAAATAAGGAAAATGGTATATTTCCAACATTTTTAGAATTGTAAACTAACAAAATTACCTACTATAATTCATTACTTGCTCAGGAGCCAAGTATCTATTCTAACAAAATAATTACAAAAATCTATATCAAACTCTCTCATCTCAGCTCTATCTTTCAGAACAAAATTTTCAATTACCATTGCCCTTACTATAAATACCCATGAGACTGCAGGAAGAATCATTTACTTACCTTCTGCAATCTCTCTGAATTTTGCTTCAGCATCAGGGCTCTTATTTTTATCAGGGTGGTACTTCATGGCTAATTTGTGAAAGGCCTTCTTGATTTGTCTCTCTGAAGCAGATTTTGGCACACCTAAGATATCATAGTAGCTTTTTGAGGCTAGGATTAATTCTGTTATCATTAAAATGCAAATTGCAAAGACGAAAACTGACTGGGGAGTAGCCATTTCTAATATCCTAAAAAAGAAAGAAAAACAGATTTTTTTTTTACGCAAGGAACACATCTTAAGACTTCTACACAGCAATTGAACTCAACAAACCTTTGGTATAATAGACTTACAGCAGTATCAAAATGTTATGCACACAGTATCATATACTCATGATATTGTACTGTCAGTATCTCTAATATTAAGAGTCTATCAGCAAGTCTTTTGCTTATCTGTTGAAAAGAAAGCTAAATTGATGCTTTCTTAGGAAGGCAAGATTTCTGCGATTTATGTTGGTAATGAACTGTTTGCCTGTGATGTTAAAGATATTCACTCTTCAGAATATTTTTCTCCTGATCTTCCTACTCCAGCTTCCTCAGTGTTATCTTCAACACCACAATATCTAGCTTCAGAATACGACCCGATTATTGAAAAATTCTGTCTCCTCTGTGTTTGCCTAGAATCTTAGCAGAAAGGCAAATGTAGGGAAGGAAAGATGTTCCTCAAGTTGGTTAAATCTATTTGTTCTTAAAAGGGTTCAAACAATCAGTTTTCATAAATGTAAGATCCCAAATACTTAAGAAATATGTGTAAATAACTTCTGCTTAAAGCTAAAAATTAGTGAAATTTAAGACTTCTACCAGAGGAAGGAAATAATTTGCACTTTGGGTAAATTATTAGGCTTTCCAAATTTCTCAGCGAGTAAACTGTTTCTCTTTAAAACACTAAGTTTTACTTAGAATAATTGGTAATACATAATAATCGGGATGGAGTATACCTCTTTGGTTTGCTTTTTTGAATGCTGTACCACATAAGTCCTTAATAACCTATGATGACATAACAAGGCTGACGAAAAAGCACTATGGTTTGTGGAAACTGCCAACCGTCCTCTCCTGTGGCTTATTCTGAGCCTAATTAGCAGGTAGATTACTTTTTTCCTGAGAATTAGTCACAGTCACGCGTACCAACCATAAAGTCCAACCTCTTGATCTAAAGACACAATCAGAAGCCAGGCATAGTGGCACACACGCCTTTAATCCCAGCACTCGGGAGGCAGGGACGCGCGGATAACTTTAGAATTCAAGGCCAACGAGGTCTACACCGTGAGTGCCAGGACAGCCAGGATTACCCTATCTAAAAATAATAATAATAAAAATAAATGTAAGCGGAGCTTGCCCGGCGAGCTCAGAAGCCGCGGTTGGTCAAGAGTCTACAACTGACAGCCAGGCGCCTTCCAAAGGGCTTCAAACCGACCCTGGCGATGTCTGGGTGGCCTAACTCCCGCGTCCAACCGACTGTGTCCAAACAATAGGAGCGCCCGCCTCGTCCCGGCCCGCTCCGCTGGGGCGCCGGGTCCGTCCGTGTTCGGGGCCCCGCCGGCAGGCAAGCGCGCCG